TTTTGTAACCATAAAATAGGGTGTCAGGGTTGTCACTAGGATAAGGTGAACCTTTCCTAATATATACTAAGGACTTAATCTGTTACAGGCTGTCCCCTGGTTATGAATGAGATAAGTTGGGTGGTTTTGTTCTTAAGCTGAATTTGTATGTTAGTTGGAACAGGTAAATGTACCTGTAATAGCCTCCATTTGTAAGTCTGAGTCAGATGTTTGTAACTCTGGGACTGCCTGTACCTAGGATTTAGACCTTGACCTTTCCGACGTAGTCTTCTTTACACTGCAAGTCACAGCCCATACATGTATTATGAAGTAAATTTAAGGGTCACAACCAGCATTTGGGGAAAATGAAGCAGAAGAGAATGTTGTATTTAAACATTAACAAAGTCACATTTTAGCTTGCTTTCTATACTGTCTTTCCTTAAAATCGGTAGTACAATTAAGTGGTGCCTTGTGAATTCCTGTGTCTGTATCTCCATGTGTCAGGCAGCAGTGTAAAAGGTATTGCTTTCTGTCTCACCATCTAAAACTCTTGAATTCCAAAAGGCAGAGCGTTAGGAGAAAAAAAGACAATTCTCAGAAACATCATTTCCTAGGACAGGAGGGATGAGGAGTCAGGGAGACTGAGTGGTGTAATAAAACCAGAAACCATTTTTTATAAAGCAGACACCTGGGCTTGGCGCCTGTGGCTCAAGTGACTAAGGCGCCAGCCAGGTACACCTAAGGTGGCGGGTTCGAATCCCCAGCCCGGACCCGCCAAAACAACAATGATGGCTGCAACCAAAAAGTAGCCGGGCGTTGTGGCGGGTGCCTGTGGTCCCAGCTACTTGGGAGGCGGAGGCAGGAGACTCGCTTGAGCCCAGGAGTTGGAGGTTGCTGTGAGCTGTAATGCCATGGCACTCTACCCAGGGGGACAGCTTGGGGCTCTGTCTCAAAAAGAAAAAAAACACAGAAACCTTAAATGTAGATATAGATTTAGCTTAAGAGTTCTACTATAACCGAATTCCTACCTGAAAATGTAACTACCTGCACAAGCTTTCCTGTGAAATGATGAAATGGAAAAGAACTGCAAACTTGTAACTAATTATCTTGGAATCTAGTATAAACATTCATCTTGTATCCAAAAAGCTGTATGGTGTGGTGTTTAATGATGCCTCCCTTAGACTGGGTAAGAGGGGCCATAACTCCTGGCCTGCTCCAGCCAAAACTTGTCTTCCTGATGACTTCCTAGGACCAACTGGACCCACCCATCCAGAACCAGTGTCCCTCCAGGTCGCCAGAAGGATCATCAAATATCCAGCAGCTTCCAGGGCATGAACATGCTCCTCCCAGATTTGTTCTCCCCTGGGAAGACTTTGACACTGGCCTGAACCACAGGTATGGTGAAGGGGTGGCAAGTATATGCCAAGATGGGATGTGTAAGCGGACACAATACTCTTCACCAGGTGAGTCTGTACCAGGGGTGGGAAGCAAGAGGGAAGAAACCTGGGCCACGGCAGATTTTCCTAACTGCATTCCAGCTCAATGCTCTGGGACATTGAATTTTGAATTCAAAATCCAATCCTAAGGATTATTTGAATTTCTGAGGAATCTGTTGTTATTTCATCAACCCACGAATGGATTAATAAATTGTGGTATATGTACACCATGGAATATTATGCAGCCTTAAAGAAAGATGGAGACTTTACCTCTTGCATGTTTACATGGATGGAGCTGGAACATATTCTTCTTAGCAAAGTATCTCAAGAATGGAGGAAAAAGTGTCCAATATACTCAGCCCTACTATGAAACCAATTTATAGCTTTCTTATGAAAGCTGTAACTCAATTATAGCCCAAAAAGAAGGGGAAAGGGGAAAGGGAGGGGAGAGGATGGGTAAAGGGACGGTAAATGGTGAGACCATGCCTATGGTGCATCTTACAAGCATACATGTGAAATTTACTAGGCGTAGAATATAAATGTCTTAACACAATAACAAAGAAAATGCCATGAAAGCTATGTTAACCAGTTTGATGAAAATATTTCAAATTGTATATAAAACCAGCACATTGTACCCCATGATTGCATTAATGTACACAGCTATGATTTAATGAAAAAAGAAAAGAAAAAAAATCCAAACCTAGCCTTTCAGGTTATTATGAAGATATAGTTGTCAATGTCAGTGATAGAACAAATTTTATGTGAATGCCTATTAGCTTAGTTTGTAAGTTTTAAATATGTGGACATAGGCTCGATGGGCCTCCATTTGTTCTTTTGCAAGTTACAGGCGGGCCTGGCAGTTAGACAATGGACGCAGAGTCTAGCCTGGGTTCATATGCCTTCTCCCCACTCCCCAGCCATGAAACATTGAGGAAGGCTCTGAGTCTCCAGAATCTGAGTCTGTGTTTCCTCATTTACTTGTAAAACAAGGATAGTAAGGTCATCCTCTTTACAGGATTATTGCGAAGACTAAAGGAATTAGCCCATACAAAGCACTTACACTTGGACCGTAATAATTACTCTACAAATGTTGCCTTTTACATTATTGTTCATACAAAATTGGCCATTGCACACTTCTAAATGAAACCATAGCCAGAAAGTTGTTCTATGTTATTTGTTCTTTCCAATTCCCCTCCTAATTTTAAACATTTGCTTTATGCCTCTCCAAAAGATATATTTTTTTTTTTTTGCAATTTTTGGCCAGAGCTGGGTTTGAACCCACCACCTCTGGTATATGGGACCGGTGCCTTTGAGCCACAGGTGCTGCCCCCAAAAGATTATTTGCTAACCTGCCTGGAACAAGTTCTTTCGAAATTAAATATGTGCTTTTCTTCTACCCCGGCTCAGCACATAATTCAGTCCTTTGGCCAGTTTGAAGCATGAAGTCTGGCAAATTGGCTTTCTTTGTCAATTTCCTGCTCTAAACAGTTGAAAACATTACTGATTTTAAGTAGAAAGGGCATTTCCTACTTGGCCTATGCATGAAATTCAGAGCTACACCCAGGCTAGCTCCTCTTAATTCACACAGCAGAGGCTGAAACAGTTGAAGCTGTCAACAAAGAAAGGCTATCAGACAAGAGAGCCTAAAGCTAAAAATAGAGCCCTACCAGTGGAGAAATAGAAAGAGACAACCCTTTCTTGGGCTGCTATTAATCCACATGTTTATTAAATGGAGATACACAATCAAGCATAATAATCACGCAGCCTTCTCAGTGACTTATATTCCTTCAACCTGAAATGACTGAACAAACAACTTGAAGAGAAATACTGGCTCCGTTTTAATGACATGCAGCCAGCATATAGAGCATCTTGTATTATTTCACCACAAAAACCTCTTTCAAATGTCCAGCTGTTTGAAGATCTAAAACCCAAGAAGAAAAGTATAAGGAAAAGATTCAAGGTCATATTCACCCTTTAAAGTAGGTACCTAACCTACATATTCAATACAGTGAACAGTCAAACCTTCACTTTTCCCAACTATTCTGAAAAAATATAGACAGATATATAGAGAGATAGAACGCTTGATCAGCCAAACTACATCTAGTTGGTCCCATAAAGCAGGCAATAGTAAAGCATTGTTGATTTCAGCAATAGCTTTTCTGTTAAGTCAAATCTTCTCCAAACCCAAAATGGAGCTTAAAGGCTAGTGGAAATAAATGAGAATTAATTGGATTCCACCAAGGCAAGACTGAGCACATTCATTCATCCAACAGTAATCCCATTTAAATCAGGTACATTGTTTCTTTAGAAAATTTTGCCAACTTCCTATAAAATCCCAAGAACACTTCCTATTTTTGCCAGTTTTTATTTATGCAATTAAATTGGGTTTTTATAAGAGCGAGGCTTGGAGAGACAATATATTTTTACGAGCCCATTAGTCAGACAGTCAAGCTTCATTACAGCATAATCATTCATCAGTAGTCAGCAATGAGAACACTGTTTCCTTGTGCAATGAGGATGTTAGCGAAAATCTGTGTTCACAATAGGCCGTAAAATGTGTGTAATACGGAATACCCCACAGCAGCGGCAGAGCCAGGGAGTTCATCTGGCTTTCATTTTGCTGAAGAGCATGACAATTGCTTAGACACAAACCTGGTTTCAACTCACAAGTCACATCCTTAATTATTAACCCTTTCGTGCTTCCACCCTTTTCCAAACTCGACTCCCTTAAGACGAATGGGATACTTCATTTAGAACTAATTACTGACTTGAAAGACTCTCAGGGAAGATCATTCTGGCTTTTGCCATTTTTTGGCCACATCTATGTTACAGCTTATTCTAAATATTTCTCCCTACATCAAATGTACACACATCCCTCCGACTTTCGTATAACCTTAGCGCCTGAACTGTGGGAAGTCACTAAGTCGTGGCGAGAGGGGAGCTGGAGGCCCTAAGTTGGCAGACCGCGGACCCCAGCCCCTCGGACGCCACCCACAGGGCTACCAGCCTGTCTCCTAGGCTCCCGTCGAGTTGCCCCAGGTTGTCTGTGCCCACAACAGGAGTAACTGAGCTTGGGGAGGAAAAAAGAAATCGGCTTCAACAAGGCTCAATGCGTGCAGCTTTGGTAACACAAGGACAGATTCTGGGGACAACGCTGGGGCTGGCTGGAAAGGGAAATTTCAGGACCAAGGGAGCCTCTGAAACTCCCAGAACCTCCCCCTTTCTTTAAGCCGCTTCGCGTCCTTTCCTACTCCTAGGTGCAGTTTCTCCCGCCGCTGCTTAAGCACAGCTGGGTTGAGCCCGGCTTGGTGTAGCTGCAGCTGGAAGCGCCGAAGCTCCGAGAAAAGCAAAGCGGCTCGCGGGACCCGCAGCGCCCCTGGCACCCCGCAGCTGAACCTAGGCGGGGACGTCCCGACCGCTGAGCCCCAGCGCCAGAGGGCACCGAGGGAAGAGAGATCGCGCGGCGCCTCGCTAGTGCGCTTGGTCCCCGGGAGTCAAGGCTGTGTGCACTCGGAAGCTGAAGCCGAGGAGACTCCCTGAGCCCAACAGGAAAGTCCCCGACCTCCCGGCCCCGCGCCCAGGTACCTCGCAGCCGTACAGCTGACCCAGCTGCTCCACGATCCACTCCTCCAGCACCAGCCGCTTCCGAAGCTCCTTGCGATCGTATTTCACCGTCACTTTTCCCTGCTGGTGGCGCCGCTGCTGCTGCTGCTGCTGCTGCTGCTGCTGAACCTGCCCGGCAGCGGTCGCCGTGGCCACCGGCCCCGATTCCTCCCGGGAGGAGCCCGATCCGCTGCTGGAGCCTGGACTGCCGTCGGCACCGCCCCGCGGGCTCTGGAAGAAAACCCGCGCGCCACCACTGCCAGCCCCACCGGCCGCCTCGCTGCTGCCTGTCACCACCGACATGTCCCCGCGCGCCGGAGCCCAAGTGCGGCCCGGAGGAGGGGCGGGCAGAGCGCGCCCGGCGCCGCTACCACCTCTGAGCCGGCAGCCGCATGCGAAGGGCTAGCCGGCACCTGCTCCTCTCGTCGCTCACTCCCGGCCTCCAGGCTCTGGGGAGGAGGGGTGGCGGGCGAGCAGGAGGAGCCGCAGCAAGAGGGAGGAGGGTGGGGAGAGGGAGAGGCGGGGACCAGAGCCTTAAAGACGCCGCTGAAGACCCTCTCGGTGCAGCCCTGGGAGGGCGCGATCTGGCGCCCCCAGCTGAGGGAACCCCAGGCGTGCGAGTCAGTTGCAGACCTGGAAATGTGTGCCCGTAGACACCAGCAATCTCCTGTGTGTAGCCACTGGAAGGGACTGGCGTGGCCAGAAGATGGTCCTCTGCTCGGGTGTCAGTGGCCTCCTGTTTGGGAGACCCGGAATCGAGCTTCTCCCATGGTTCCTGAGCGCACGAAGCCCTCCGGGGCGCAGCCCGGGGCAGAGACTGCAGCGAAGGGAACGTGGAAAGAGACCGCGCCGCAGATTCCTCACCGAGGTTCTCAGCCCCACCGTCTCCCGGGAGGCGAAGTGTCTCCTCCCCTCCTGGCCCCACCTCGCGGCAGCAAACACACATTCCTATTCATCCCACGATGGATGCCACTTCCTCTCTTGGATTGTGAGAAAAATTGACGAGGCGATGTTTGTGCAATCAGACGATCGCCGCGCCTGGGAAATCATTTCCAGGCCAATTTTTCTATCCTTTCCAAGTATCTATTAATTACAGGCAAAGCACTAAGATATCTTTATATCTAAAGGGCAGAAGGCTTGATCAGCTTTCAAGCAATGAGGTTGCCGACATCCGCGCGGTATTTTCCTTAGACTCTGTGACTGTTTATTTTACGTTTTTGGTATTGCATTCCCTGCACAGCAAGCTTTCTCTGGATGCCTTTACCACACAACCTCTTTTTGTTCAGGAAAGCAACCACATTGACTAACTCTGCTTTCAAAATACCATGCAGCCAAGTGGAGTTACAAATGAATGAGCTTATTATAAGGCTAGGGCAATTAGGTGGGGAGGGAAGTTATAAACAAAACTATGTGTATATGTGTGTAAAATCAGGAAGACTAACATATCTCTGTTGTACATAACAATACATTTCTGTTTAGGCAACTGAGAAACTACAAAGATGTTCAAATACAATTCAGTAAGTAGCTTTAATGAACCTTTGAAAACAAGCTGGTAAAGGTTACTGGCAGGTGCTCAAAGAAGTTTCTCAAGGTAAAATAAAAAAAACAAGTCAATTTCCTCTGAACACTCAGTGGTAGGGAGGATTCCGCCTGGGGTTCTAGACTGACAGGTCTAGAGACAGGGAGAATGAAAGAATCACCAGCACCTTTCTCTGAGTTCCTCCAGCTCTGCCCGGCTCTGCCCTGTGCAGGTGGGCCTCCCCTTTGTTGCCTCAGTCTGAGGTTTTCCAGCCACAGCCTGAGTAGGGATTTTCCCAAGCGTTTCATGTCTGCAGCTCATTACAGGTCAGGGCATGAAGAGTGACAGGGAAGGATGAAGGGGATGGTATGTGAAATAGGTGCCTGATGTTGCCCTTGACCTCCCACCGAGAACTTCTGTGGGACAGAAGAGGCCAGCTGCCCTCTAGAAGGTGAGTTTTTCACCAAACCCGTCAGAGCAAGGAAGACAGAATTACCATGACTGGCCCCTAGAGAATGGTGACCAGTCTCCTGGTCACCACCATCCCCATCTGCTGGTAGGGCAGATCATTTTAAATCCTGAACACACAGCCAACAGGGTGAGCACCTCAACAAATGGAACTCTGTAGGGAGGAAGAGAAGGGAGGGTGGTGAACAATAGTGTCCCCACACAGAATAAGCTGGTCACCCTGCAGACATCTGGCACCTAGGCAACTCGGCTAGCGCCAGCTTTAACCTACTGCTATAACCAGGGGGGGTTAAATCTAAACAAAAATAGCTAGAATTTCACAAAGGAGAAACTACATAAAAATCTCTACCTCGTTCTGGTGCTGGGACCTGACAATACCAATTATTTTGAAAAGTGTGCCTGGTAAACTGTAGCAAAGTGTGGGAAATTCCAACTCCTTACTCTTGAGTCTTTGGATGAGTCCAGTCATTCAGGAATAACTGCAAAGAATTTGTAAGAATTCGTGAAGTTCTTCCTGAGACATTCTTATGTCAATTTTTCCTCACTGCACAAGATGCTTTTTTCCTTTGTGCTTAAAACTCAGCTTTCACTTACAACTTCGACAGTGACAGATACTAAAAGACATGAGTTCTTGAGCATCTTGTAAAAAAAAAAAAAAAAAAAAAGTGAGCAGTCAGTCTTTTTCTGTGGGTACCTTGGCCTCCAGATGCTCAAATGAGTCACCTTGACTTGCAAGTAGGAGCTGAACTCAGGTCAGGAGTTTCTGTAAAGTCGCTTTGCTCCACCCAGGACTTAATTTATATTCAAAGTGAACCCCATATGTGCTGCTCCCTCAAACGCAAACACTTCATTCCAGATTTGAATATTTAAAACTCAGATGTTCAAATCTTGACAGAAAGTAATACTGCTTTTGCAGATTTCAAATACTGAAGACAAAGTATTTGGGATAAAGGAGTTATTCCCAGGCCAGTCACTTTACATAGGCGACCATTTAAAATAGCACAACCAATAATGATATTCCTTATCTATTAAAGCCAATATATACATTTGTTCAAGGCAAACTCTTTCACCTTAATCTGTTCAGACAAATGTTTTTTAATTGTCATTAATCAAAAACAATGGATAGGTTTTAGTGAAGGGAATGGTCTGGGAATTTTCTAGAATGCAAAGGATGACCTTTTACCTTAAGTCAGTTACTCCCTGCTGTGAAAGCGCAGAGGAAGTTTCAGTCCTCAGTACCTTTTTCTTTGTAGCTTTGTGTTTTCTTCACTTTTCTAATTTGTTCCCTGATTTAAAGAAAGGCTTTCTAAAGGAATTATACAGGTCCTTTCTTTCTAAATATGATCTTCATGCCCAAAGGTAGTTAGACAAGAAGACTTAATTAGGGGGTCTCAGGGCTTTCTACACCCCCCCAAGGGAGACAATTAAATATAAATGTTTATACTTAGATGGAAATTTCCTTACTCCTGTAAGACTGGATGTCACAATAATTATGCAACATCTGGTCACCTACCTGAGAATGTTATAATTATGGCCTGGAGGCCCACAAACCTGAACTCAGTATTCTTACCTTGAGTTATAAATGCCAGCACTATGGGGCCTAGAGCCAACTCTTTCAAAGATTTGATAAAGCACAAAGACAAATCAGAAGTAAGTGTAAGTCTGGTCTTCATCATAAATGGAAAAAAAATTGAAGCTGTCCTTTGGGATTCTCTGAGTTACACATGGCTTTTTCATTGTTCTTTACAGCGTGACAAGCGGCCTTCTGTTCACAGTAGATCGATGTAGTTTTTCTTTTGGCTACTCTTTCATCCTCTTTATTTTTTTTCCTTTATAATTCTGGACCTTGGTATCAGGCTCCACTATTTGGAATCATAATTCCAAACTAAACGCTGCCATTACTTGCATAAACCACCAGAACAAAACAGATGTCATTGTCACATGTCTAAAATTTTATCTCGGCAATCACAGAAATTCATACCTTACAGTTTAGATGCAATGATAGGTACAGGGGAAATCCAGAGGTTTGTCTCCACCCCTTTAACAAAGATTAAATGTCCCTGGCCCATTATAGTAAACTTAATTTGTGAAATTTTTTTTTCTCTTTTTGTAAAACTAGGCTCCAATTTGTTCCTAGAGAATCAAGTTATCCTCCCTTCTAGCAATGGACTCTTGTCCTCCTGCCTTTCACAGTCAAATGTTTTTGCTTTGTTTTATTTTGTTTTGTTTTTGAGACAAAGTCTCACTCTGCCTGGGCAGAGTTCCATGGCATCACACCACATAGCAATGTCTAACTCCTGGGCTCAAGTGATCCTTTTGCCTCAGCCTCCCATGTAGCTAGGACTATAGGGACCAGCCACAATGCCTGGCTTTTCTATTTTTTAGTAGAGATGCGTCTCGCTCTTGCTCAGGCTGATCTCAAACTCCTAAGCTCAAGGGATCTACTCGCTTTGGCATTCCAGAGTATTAGGATTATAGGCATAAACCACTGCGCCCAACTGCAGTCCCACAATGCTGTATCTTCCCCTCTTGTCACTCTGCCCTCCCCTCTGTAGTCTGGCTGCCACCCTGGAGTGAAAGTATCCTCATCCTCACCAGCCAATTCCACACTGTTCAAGTCCACGTGCACCTTTCAGCTCTTATCTAAATGACCTCCTACCATACTGACAACCTTGAACCTCTCCTTGCTTTTCAACTCTCTCCTCTCTTAACTGGATCCCAACACCCTCCTGTTCTCATCCCACCTCTTGTCTTTTGCACTGCAGTGGTTTTCCTGAGCTCCTTTTCCTCCATCCCGTGGTAAGGTAGGTGGTTCCCAGTTTCTACCCACGGCTCTTTCCTTACTCATTCACAGCTCCCCAGGTGATTTTGCCTAAGCTGCCACTTCCTGCAGCCTTGACTACCACCCACCTAACACAGACTCTCCGGATGAAGGCCCAGAGCAGATCTCCGGTCCACGCTGTCAGATCTGCCCCATAAGGCAATTGATGCCAAATGCACTGCACACACACCTTTATATTTAAACTACCCCAGTACCCATCCATAGCAATTCACTAGAGAACAAAACATTACAGTGAACTTTTTTTTTGTTTTGGCCATATGTGCTCAGCACAGTAAAGGATGATGAAGGCTAATGTTTTTCAAATGCTTTTTTAAAAAAACTTTTACTACAAACCACAATAAGAAATATATGCAATATCATGACCCAAATATACAGGGTGGACATAAAGTTCCTGTGCAATCAACTCATTTAAACTGCACAGGGACTTTATGCCCACCCTGAATATCTATACCCATACACTTACCCTGTACCATGTGGGACATTCTGACACTTCCTATTCTAGTTATTCTGTTTCATTACATCTAGTGAACCCTGGTCACAACATACTAAATTGATTTCCCTAACCACTAACTAAAATATTTGCAACTCAC